TATTGTATTGGCCAATACTGTATGTACGCATTTACCTACAAACATACACAAAATCGATACATTTTATAGTAGTAAAAACAAAAATGCATAAAAAATAAAATAAATATATTCAGTCGCCAATGAAAAAGCGCACGCACTGGCCAACAGCCGCCAACAGCCAACATACATATGTATAATTTAAAAACGAAGCATACGCACATGCAGTCATATAAACATACATACATACATACATACATACATACATGCATATCAAGCGCATATGTTAATACAATAAAAATTCACTTTCTCTTTGTTTTACTACACACATTTCAATCTTTTTGTTTTTTGTTTCTTTTCAACTTTTTGTTTGTTTACGTACTTCACACAACGCTTGTCTTGTTTCCGTCACCCAGGGCACAGCCAATTTACAGTCCTCGATTAATGCCGAAGATGGCTTAGGCACTGTATCGTTGAGCGCCATTTATGCGGCGCTTGTCGTCTCATGCATCTTCCTACCCACACTTATTATACGCAAATTGACTGTAAAGTGGACGCTGGTCTTCAGTATGCTGTGCTATGCGCCGTACATCGCCTTCCAATTGTTCCCAAAGTAAGTAGTCAAGCAATGGATGTTCATGTCCATACATATTCGCATTTATCAAACTTGAATTATCTAACGCTCCACATCTTATTTATGTTCTTACATAGGTTTTACACATTGGTTCCTGCTGGTATTCTAGTCGGTTTGGGTGCCGCTCCTATGTGGGCATCTAAGGCCACCTATTTGACTCAGGTCGGTCAAGTGTATGCGAAGATAACCGAACAGGCGGTGGATGCAATTATTGTGCGATTCTTCGGTTTCTTCTTCTTGGCTTGGCAAACAGCCGAATTGTGGGGAAATCTGATTTCGAGTTTGGGTAAGTTGAATATTAATAAATAGTATTTAAGTCAAGCGTAGGTAAAAAGAAATATTAGGTGAAAAATAAGAAAACTCCTGTGCGGTAGTGGCTAAAAGTGCGCACTGACAGTCCGCAGGGCCTGGGATAGAGCGCAGTTTCCAATTAACATCAAAAGCTAAAGAAAAGAAAAAGGTATTTCTAATAGCGGTCTCCCCCTCGACAGGTAATGACAAAGCTCCGAGTGTATTTCTGCCACTAAAAACAGCTTCCCTTAAAACTAAAATCGCTGTTCTGAGCAGCCGTAAAACTGTAGTTCCTCACCCTTTGTTTGAAAACATCAAGGTGCACGCCACAAATCGGAGGAGAAGCTCGGGCAAACACTAACATATTGTGTAAGCGCTAATCTATTATAACATATTATTATTTTTTAAAAGTCATAAACTCTGAAGCTGTTGTTTGAATTGATCCGCGATGTCGGCTGAATTTATCCACGATCCGCTACGACAGCTCTGTCCACATACTATGGTTTTACAGTTATTTTTTTACATTTCTTCTTATTATTCTTATTTGGCTCTATAATCGTTCGTCGGTTTGTGCCCAGCCCAAAGCACTTCGCCAAGTGCCAGTCTCCTTTGCGAAGTGGTGTCAGTTGTATATACCCGAGTGCAGAGAGATCATGGATGCCGAGTCGAAGGATCTTTAGGTAGGTAGAGCCGGCTGCCGCCTTAGCGGCACACTTAGGCCATCGATAGAAGGCCCATTGTGTTACACACACAGTTGACACCCGTTCAATTATCCTCCCTATTGAACCACTTCGTTTCGCTGATGAATCTCAGCAGGCACCCCGCATCGGTATTTGAAACCTCCCTAAGGTCGGCCAGGAATGGTGAACCCAGGGCATTTACACAAGAGATGCAATACTGTTTCCTCCTCTTCGTCGTCCTTGCAGCTTCTGCAACATCTACAAAAAGGCACGCCGAGCCTTTCTGCATGCTTACCTATTAGACAGTGCCCGGTTAGGGCCCCCACGACATAGATATATCCTCTCTTCTAAGAGAGTATACCCTTCGTGACCGCTTCCGGCCCCATTTAGGCCTGCCTGGAAATTCGACAAGACGTACTTTGACTCCATCTTTCTTCAGCTTGTTTGTAAAAAAATTCACTAAGTTCATCTGTCATGCAGTTTCCCTCTATGTCCCTTTGACCAGGGACCCCATTGAGGTGAAGTCTGTTCTGCTTGGCCTTCTCCTGTAGATATAGGCGGCAGTCCAACGCAATCTTTGAGTGAAACGTGAAAGAGCTCAGAGCTTTGGTTGCAGCCTGGCTGTCACTAAAAAGAAAGGTGGCACACTATTATATACATATCAATATTTTTAAGAAACATATCGTATAAGTTATTAAGACTAATTTTCTCGTTTCCTTTTTTGCAGTGCTTTCGAGCGGAGCTCATGGCAGTGGCGGTGACAGCAATACCACCACCTCTGAAGATTCTCTGAAACACTGCGGTGCGAACTTCTGTGTGCAAAGTTCGACCGGCATTTTGAGCCGTCCACCAGATAATGAAATCTTCGAAATCTCTATGATCTACTTGTCTTGCATCATTGCTGCCGTAGCCATTATTGCAATCTTCCTGGATCCCCTAAAGCGGTATGGTGAAAAACGTAAGGGTTCACAATCGGCACAAGAATTGTCTGGCATGGAATTGCTGTCGGCTACTTTCCGTCAAATGAAGAAACCAAACCAGCAATTGCTCATTCCCATCACAATTTTCATTGGCATGGAACAGGCTTTCATCGGTGCCGATTTCACACAGGCATATGTTTCGTGCGCTTTGGGCATCAATCAAATTGGTTTTGTGATGATCTGCTTCGGTGTGGTCAACGCTATTTGCTCGATCCTTTTCGGTTCGGTAATGAAATATATTGGACGTCTGCCCATCATTATTCTCGGCGCTGTAGTGCATTTCACACTCATCTCCATCGAATTGTTTTGGCGTCCCAGCCCTGAGAATCCACTCATCTTCTACGCCATGTCCGGATTGTGGGGTGTCGGCGATGCTGTATGGCAAACGCAAATCAACGGCCTATACGGTCTGCTCTTCCGTCGCAACAAGGAAGCGGCCTTCTCCAACTACCGTCTCTGGGAATCAGCTGGCTTCGTGATCGCCTATGCATATGCGACAACTTTGTGTGCGCGCATGAAGCTTTATGTTCTATTGGCTGTATTGGCATTGGGATGCGTTGGATACACTATTGTGGAAATTCTGTATAGAAGAAAGGTATGTAATAAATGGCAGCATAAATACTGGAAGATCCAATTACTCATTTGTTTATTTATTCTAATTTAGCAACGCAAGCTAAAGAAACAAGAGAAATTGGAGGCTGCCGCCAAGGAGAAGGAAGCGGCTGCCGCTGCAGCCGCCGCTGAGGCTAATGGCCCAACCGAAGTGGATGAAACAGACGACGAGCTGGATGATCTCGAAGAAGATATTGTTGTGACGCATTTCTAAGTCCACTTCTAAAAACAAATACACACACACTCACAAACGCGTGCTCAAACATGCATACAACTGCAAAACAAACAGTTGCGCCCTACATATCGTCAAACGTAATGTGCATATGTATGTATGTACACATGTGAAAGCTTCTCATCTCACATGTGAAAGTGCTTTGAAAAGCTTGGAACACTGCAGCTTTGGCAAGCTTATAAACAAGTGTGAAAGCACTTCAAATCATTAGGGCACACACACATACGATGTAAGCTTTTGTTTTGCTTTTTTGTCTCACCTGAGCGCTTTTAGTGTTGGCGTGTAGGTGTAATTTTTCTTTGTTTTTTGTTTGTTTTACAAAACAAAAAAATGCTTTTGCATGCAAATGGGCGAAAATGCATGCTGCAGTGAAGTGGTAGAGTGATTATGTTGCGGCGACTCAGTGTATGTAGCAATTATGTAGTAAAGAAAATGAATGTTGGACAAAAAAGTTCGCCTTTCTGCAGCTTTCCTCAGTTGTTACTTTGTTAAATGTATGTACTTATAAAACTTGCAATAGAAAAGGACACTTGAAAGTTTAAAGTATTTACATAAATATCAGAACAAGTAATAACAAATATAATTGAAAGTAATGTGTTATAAAGTTTATTAAAAGTTATTTAGTCTAATAAGTACAACAGAAACAACGCAGACATACTTACACACAAACATTTACATTTTATGTACACACAAGTTGACATAAATAGAACAAAGTTACACAAAAGCTCACATAAGCATGTAAAGTAAGTGCAATTTGTAAATAAATAACTAGATTGAAGTAATAAACAAAATAATTACTGAAATCGTAAACCAGAAGAACTGTAAAAATGATAAAAATGTTGAAAAATTGTTTTGTTTTTTACTTTTCGTGAAAAAAGCTCTTAGTGAGTATGAAAAAAATTTCACATGCTCAAAGAAATGCAACAACAGTTAAAATTCACTTGAAAACAACAGAAAAAAATAAATGTGAAGGCTTTTTTTTCTAGCCCTACCACTGGCTCCTACATATTGAATGAACAAAAACTTAATTATAACCCCAAACAAAAGACGTGCTTCCTAAAGGCAAGTAATATGTACTTGTACATATTTGAATTGTATAACAATTTGCTAAACTCATGTATATGTAAAAAAAAAATTACTAAGACAAAACGATATATTTTAAAACATAAAATTTGCCCAAATGAAAAGGGTATGTAAGAAATACATATGTATATGCATATACAAATTTAATTTAAGTTAAAGTCCTGTTTTAAGACCCCTTAGGTATAAATATATATATATATATATATATATGTATGTATATGAATATGCATAAGTTAAAAATGTGAAATCAACGCTCAAAACAAAAACAACAATGCACAAATTACGAATTGTGCTTTTTAAAAAATATTTGTATTATTGGTAGAACACATACGAATATGTGTAAGTATGCGCGCATACAAAAAAAAATTAAATTTATGTTGTTTTTATTTTTAGTAAATTTAGTTTTTGTTTATGCGCGCGCTCAAGCCTATTTTCATTTTCGCTTCTTTTGTACTTCTTTGAAGAAGTAGTCGATTGTAGTAAAAATAGTAATATTAGCTTGTGTGAAACTCAAAAATATTCCTTAATATAATAAAGTAAGAAATATTGTATTATCAATAAATAAAAAAAACGATAGTTAAAACGTTAAAATTAAAAAATTAAATGCACTTTACACAAAAAAGTTTTAATTCTAAAAAAAAAAATACTTAAAAAAAGTGTAAGTTAAACTTTGAAAGTTGTTAAAAGAAATATACGAGTGAGTACGAGTATGATTCACAATGAGTAACATGAAATGTACTTATATATTTTGCTCAGTATTATAATGTTAATGGTTAAGTGATGCTTCTTTTTTTTTTTTGAACAAACTTATTCTACGCTATCACACCCGCTGTGTAGTACACTCTTTATGTTTCTCAAAGCACTTTTACAACAAAGGTTCTTCTAATTTAATTTATAGCTGAATTTTTACCTAAAACCTTTTTTGTTTGTCAGCTATAAATCAGCTGCTCGTACTATTTTTACTACACTCCTTCTGTTCTTCTAAGATCTTGCACAGCCTTCTCATTTTCCAATCCCTTTAAATTATTTCTAAACCTCTATTTACGTCGTAATTAATATTTTTATGCTCATTAATTTGTATCTTTCGTTTTTCTTTTGTTTTTTACATACCTACATTTGTATGTATGTATGCATGTTATTACTATGAACATATCCTGCATTTTTATAGTCCTTTAAGTAGTTCTATTACATCCCTTCACTACCTTCCTATACTTATAAATACGAACACACACTATGTATTATTTGAAAAAATTTGTGTATGAAAAATTCTACATAAATACATCCCTGCATATAAAAGCAAAACAAAAATATATATAGAAAAGAAAAGTGTAAAAAATTGGAGGAAATCTGGCATACGAGTTTGTAATACCATTGCAATATATATATACTACTATATCGTATTAAACAGTGTATGCGCATGTACATACATATGTATGTATGTATGTGTATCTATGAATATGTACATATGTATGTACAAGGTGCGCATATGAAGATATATTTTAGAGTACATAGTTACAAAAGGAAGCTGAAGTGGTTAATGCAATTGTATTGAATAAACAAAAATGTTAAGAAAAAAAGAACGATTGAAATAAGCAAATTCGATTGTGCAGTTTGCAATCTGGTAGTATAAAAATTACGTAATATTACAAATTAAATAAATATAATTCTACGAAATAATAAATATATTTGTTGTTTTAGTTTAAAGAAATCCAATGCGAATTTTTATTTAACGGGAATTCTTGTGGTAAATTCAGAAATTTTAGTGCTACAAATCTCCTCTGATACCGCGTCGGATTAGTCCTTGTCGCCCAATTCGGGTTCTGCGCCTTCAGACGCAGCCAGAAACTAGTCCTCGATTAAGGTGGCCTAGAGATTGTATGTCGCAGCTTGCACTCGGACTCCGTATACTACTAGGTATATTTCCTCCCCGCTCCCCGCTCGTGATGTCGGCAGGACGGAATCTATGAACGAATAACTCAGCAGGTCCTCTCGAGCCGTTGGTTGAGTTCCTTCTGGCGATGAACTTTAGCGACAAAGGCCACCGAGCAATTTTCTTCTTATATGGCGTATCTGAACTTAATTCTACCTTCTTCCGCTCGGCTGGGATGCACATCGAGAATATTCTTACATACCCTGCACAAGCCATTAGAATAATCTTCCATTCTTCATCAAAATCAAGGATGTAGGCTGTGGGGAAATAGCGAAAAATCTTTGGCGATGTTTTCCGAGGATCGTTTTGTCTTTTTCCGACTTAAAAGTGCCGGTGTTCTTCACCTTGTTGCTACTTCTTACTTTGCTCTTTCTACTACCCGGTATCAACCATAACTTTGGCCGATTCATACCTGCTTTTCTTTCCCACAGTCAGCTCACCTAAGGGGATTTTGTCGAACTTTTATTTTTTTTCTACCTTTCTTAACGTTTTTAAGCAGCAGTGGCGCTGATCTGAGCCTAGGAGGCGACGAGTTAGGTTGTTTAGGCTCTTTCGAGGTCGCTAATGCCGTGACCGATATTTAGATAGTTAAAATTTCATTGTCGTGACTAGCAACAGACATATCACCTATTTGGAGATCAGGAGGACTTTGAAGGGTACAGGTTTGAGGGAAGTATGGGAGTCTAGCAACCTGTGTAACTTATCGGTAGCCCATGGTGGTACGCTTCATTCGCATGCTGCTTTTTCTCGACCGCCCTAATGAACACGTAATTGACCTCTTAGCAAGCAAAATTTTTTAAATCAAATGTGTTCCCATTTTTTGTTAACGTTTGCACTTTATCCCCTTTTTGTGATGACCTGTCAGCGCTATTCATATTTTACTTTATATACTTTAGTTAATTTTTGTACTTTATTCGTCGAAAATGCAGCCGGCCTTTTATACGAGCCTCAAATAAATCGCGTCTTGGGAGAAAAGAAAAATTACTTTTTCTGAAATGTAATATGCCCCTTTTGATCTTTGGCTACAGGTTAAAACACTGCATAGGTTAAACGCTTCAAATGACCTCGAACCTGACGTGATGGGTGCTAACAGACCCCGGATTCGCATTTAGCACGTCGAATAACATAAGGATATGGAGGTTTGGTTCAATATGCTGAAACTTTTTTTTTGTAAACCTGTGTAATTTATAAAACGATGACTTAAGTCGCTTATAGGTTTTTTAACGTTATTCCTAAAATTCGCATTCGCATTCGTGAGTGTGAAAAATATGACATTCGAAACATCCCTAGTATGTATATAAAAATAAATTGTGATTTGTGCGGATGCTTAAAAATTGAAAACGACAGGACCAAATTGGATAACCGAAGGTTTAGAAAAAATAAAATTTAAAGAGTTGCCACCTGTTTAAAAATTGCGTATAAGTAAATTGATATAATAAATAAATATTACAATATCGGCGTCAAAAGAAAGAGCGCTTAGAGTCAAAAATATTTTTAGGAAAGTTGCCACCTCTTTGAAAATATTAATTTAAATAAATTGTATATTACAATATAGGTGTCAAACTAAAGCGGTTTAAGAAAGCTTACTAATGAAAAACTTTGTGAGGAGGGTTGCCACTTGTTTACAAAGTTTAATCAAACTAAAAAGATAAGTTAAATATTACAAAATGGGTATCAAACTAAGGAGGTTTAAGAAAGTTTACAATTTGGGTATGAAACGAAACGTATTTGAAAACTCTTTGAATAAGAAATATTTTCACCTATTTAAGGAGGGAAAACTAAAAGTATTGAATTAAAAATTAAATATTACAAGGTTGGCACCAAACGAAAAGTATTTGAGATATCTTTACTAGGCAATTTTTTTTAAATTGCCACCTTACCAAAAGCAGACCTTAATGTTCGAAAGAATTTAACGAAGTGTTTAAAATCACTTTGAGAAAGAAATGTTTCAAATGTGTTGCCACTGAATTTATTAATTAAAATGAATACTGAGGGTTTTTAGTACTAGAGTTGAAATATAAATTATGAAATGTTTAAGCAACGAAAAATATTTATAAAAAATCAACTTATACAAATGTAAAAATAATAAATCACGTAAGAAAAATATTATAACATCAGATGAATTTTTATCGAACAATACATTTTTAACTCTTCTGTATACTTATTTCTCAAAGGTATTTCTGTGTTGCCATACTATATCTCCTTTAATGTGTTATCAAATTCAATGATTGAGACCTCATTTTGGAGGCAAAAAAGTAAAAATACCGACGTGGTCCGCCTTTTGCTCTTATTTATAGATACATATGTGGGGTATTCACAACGGTGACGTAAGTGTGGTATTGTTGTTTGTCGTAGACTTTAAACGCCTAAAAAATATATTAAGGGGGTTCGCAAAGTACCATCAATGTCATATTATGAATTTTCGCAGTGTTAAAAAATAGTTGGTTGTGGTTTCAAGTTCTCTAAACATTTATTTAAGCTTTTAAAGTTTACAACATTCAGCAATACGACACTTACGATACCGTTGTGAATCCCTCAATGGTATATAACTTTTTTTGTGAAAACTTATATTACAGGTGCTATAACGGGTCAAAGGTCAGATCTTCGAAAAATTAAAAACTTAATATTACAGAAAATTTTGTACCAATTTTTAAAGGTCATTTAACCCCCTTTCTTGTGATATGCATCGTATATAAAAAATTTGAGAAAGAAACACATTTAAAGGAAAAAATACCTTTTTTGTATAAAAAAAAAATATTTTAAACAAGAAAATTAATAACCGCTTTTTCGTATCATTGTAAAGGCGATACCCCCTTTCTTCTGACATGCATATTTGTATACTTCGTGAATAAAGATTTGAGAAAAAGCAGTTAAAAGGAAAAAATAACTTTGTTTATCAAAGTTATACCATTCTGAGCAGAAATCGTGTACTTTCGGTATCTACCTGTTTTTTAACGCTTTAAACTTTTACTTTTTTAATTAGAAATTCTACAGTTTTGAATTATAACCAAAAATTTTAGTATCATGGACACACCCGCCACAATGGAATTACCCAGTTGCCGGATATGAAAAAGATATGATGCAATTTTGATCAACAATACAAAATAAGAAAATTTGGCGCTTGCATATCTTTTGCGGTTATGTTTCGATTGCCGCGAAGGTAAATCAAATTCTTCGACATTGAACTTTCATTATGCCACCGCTCGCCTCAGGCAATCGCAATTCAAAAGGATTGGCCATTAGCCATGCCATTGGCCCCTCACCAAAGCGTCCAAGTTAACGAGCAGCTTTGAGTGTCACTGAAAATCGTG